TTAAAAGTTTAAGATCCTTATGTTATGTACAGTTACTTTTCATGTCTATTTTAACATGATGTTACTATTTCCTTTTGAGCGGCAATTCCGCATAGTGGGTAGGTGTGCAGACCAGCCAAGTTGCTTGATTTCAAATCTAATTCTGTTACTCACTTACTCACTGGCTGGAAAGTACTTATCTTTCCTGTGCCTTAGTTTTCTTATCTGTAAAATGGGTAAATAATAGCATCTACCTAATGGGGTTGTTCTGCAGGATTAAATGTGCTACATTTGCAAAGCTTTTTGTTTTTTAGACAGAGTCCCACTCTGTCACCAAGGCCAGAGTACAGTGGTGTCATCTTCACAGCTCACTGCAACCTTTGGCTTCTGGGTTCAAGTGATTCTCCTGCCTCAGTCTCCTGAGTAGCTGGGATAGGCCCAGCTACTATTTTTATTAGAGATGGGATTTTGCCATGTTGGTCAGGCTGGTCTTGATCTCCTGACCTCAGATGATCCACCTACCTCAGCTTCCCAGAGTGCTGGGATTACAGGCATGAGCCATCGCACCTGACCTGTAAAGCTTTTTGAGCAGTGCTTGCACATTAATACTTTGTAAAAGCTAGTCATTAGCAGTACTACTATTAACACATTCTCTCATTTCACCCTCTCATAACCTGTTAAAGTAGGCAGGCAGACACGGCTCCATTTTTGCTAATAAAAATTACATCTGGCATGCCCCACCAGTGAGGAGGCGGTACTTAAACTCTACTTTGTAGCAGGGTTCCTGTTCTGCTGATGTGTGCAATATGACCTATAACAATAAGTCCACTTCTTCCTCTGGGCTTGATTCACAATGAAAACCCTTTTAGCTGGGGTCATTTAGAGATCATGCAACAGCCAAGTGCTGTTATGATAAGAACCTTCCTGTTCAAAACTGTTTGACTTCCAGAAGACAGGAACAGACCTTCAATTTAATTTCAGAGTCCTATATGCCAGTTGAATAACAGAGGGATTTTCTTTCATCCTGGCAGAAAATGTGTGTGCTTATTTTTTCATTAATAACCCTTGGGCAAGGAAAACATCAAGCCACAAAGAAGGCTTTCTCCCCTCTACCACATTTTGTTATTGATGAATCAGATATGAATATATGGAAATAACCAGAGAATAAACACTATGAATTTATATAGCACACTTTCCTGCTATGGAAACTTTAATTTCACAGATATTATTGAATTCAAACCTACTCTTTGAAGTGCTTTAAGTGCTTTTTTTCCATTGCTGAAGGAGAGGAATATAGAAGTACATGGGCACTTAACCAAAGTCAATACCATACAAAAACCATTAAACAGTTTCTAAAAATCATCTATCAGTGAAAATGAGTTAGGGGCGAAGTGCAGTGACTCACTGCTGTAATCTCGGGACTTTGGGAGGCCAAGATGGGTGGATCACTTGACACCAGGAGTTCAAGACCAGGCTCACCAACATGGTGAAACCCCATTTCTACTAAAAACACAAAAATTAGCTGGGTATGGTGGCACACACCTGTAGTCCCAGCTACTCAGGTGGCTGAGGCATGAGAATTGCTTGAACCTGGAAGGTGGAGGCTGCAGTGAGCCAAGACTGTGCCACTGTACCTCAGCCTGAACGACAGAGTGAGACTGAAATTAGTATCCATACCCCTTACAATGATTATTATTTTCTTCAGCTCTTACTCTCTTGTTCTCTCTGAGCACAGACAGGTTTTCTAATTAAGCACAGCAAATAGGCGTAGGCTATCTGAACTAATCTCCATTCAACCACTTTATTGCAATGGGACCTTTGGCAGGTTTTTGAGCTTCTCTGAACCTCAATTTCCTCTTTTTTGTAAAGAATAGATATCACCTATTCTTTCTACCTGATAAATTGGCAAGGAAATAAGTTAACAGTTAAAATGTTAAGCTCAAACTAGAACTGGGCACTTAATTGCTGAGGAAAGGTGTCAACAAGAATCTCTGGTAATGGCAATGGTGTTGAGGTTATAAAAGCTGAGGTCCGACCTTCACCATAAACTGAGCCTTCCCTTGTACCTTGTGGTCCGAGTGTCTAATGCATGGAGGGAAACACAGTAAAGAGTTTCAACAGGCTGTTCTGACACAGTAATATATGGATGCTAAGTTATGTACTACAGATGAATATTTGTGTGTGTGTGTGTGTGTGTGTAGGATGAATGCATATGTAAGTATATATGCATGTAGATATATGAACATGTAGATGTTTGCATGTGTATGCACGTGTCTGGGGTGCATATGTGTAGTCTATGTGTTTGTGTATGTGTATACATATACACCCACACATTTGATTAGGTAGAGGCCTGGACAAAAGGCTACTTTCTGGCAACAAGTATCTGGGTCTCAAGAATAGCAAAAAAAAGAGAAAGAAAAAAAAGCCAAAGAATATTAACTTTTGTTTAACTCTACCACTCAGTTCCCAGTACTAAGAAAATAGTCTGAATAACTGAGACATTATGATTGGTCTCTATCTGAAAATGTGCCATCTCTTTTGAGAATCCCATTGAGTTCTCATTATTTTTTTTCCTGAGTTCTTAATCTAGTAAGTGACCTTTCTCCTATTTGTCCCTAAGATACCATGCCAGAAGCTTTTAATGTTTTGCAAATTCCCACCCTTATGAATTCTTTGAATAAAGGACAAAGTGCCAGTTCTACAAATATCAGTGGAAACAGAGAAAACCTGTACTAGAAACTTTTGACCAGAACTGGTTCACGATTTGACTCAGTCTTGCATATTACGTGCTGATTACTCAGCATGTGCCTGAGGCTGACTAGGATTTGCAGATAGTCTAGGTTTGTCTATATGTCATTTAGTCTCTAACTATAAGGGGCTACTCAGGAAGTAAAGAACAGGCTGGTAATGATCCCAGATGTACTATGCCACCTTCTCCAGCACAGGGTCTTTTCTGCTCACTGCCAATTTACATCAAATCTAAACTATCTACTCAGGAGGCTGAGGCAGGAGGATCATTAGAGCCGAGGAGTCCAAGGCCAGCCTGGGCAGCATATTGAGACTCTCTCTTTAAAAAAGTTTAAAAATCTAAACTAGCTATATTATCAAAGGGCTTCAACTCAGTCTTCTTATTGAGTAATAAAACTCATTTTTTGGTACAATGGTAACAATATCCTCGGACTGAGAGTAAATGTATTTCTACCTATGAAAATCAGCTTGGCCCAACTGTCTGTATACTACAATGGCCTTGAATGACCTCCCGAGAAGACTTCTGGCCCCACCTGTGGATACGTCCATCTGGTGGCTCTGTGCTCACAAGAAGTATTGATCCAACCCCAGCTAGGTCTGTGTCTAATTAGTAACGACAACCAGCAATACTCAAGGTAGTTGCTGGAGAATATAACCTCAAATTCATTGCTACTTAATACCTTTCAAAAGCCCAGCTAAGAACAACAGTGATGGGGGATTTCCAGAATGGTATGTGGCCATCATTCCTTTGGATACTCTAAATTTCTCCCTAGCCTAACTAGACCATCTGTAGAGCAAATCAGAGTGGCCCCTGTATAAATGTTTTCTCTGATTAGGTGATGTAATTGGCCTCTACAGAGAGATCTGACATGAAACTGCCCTCTAAAACCCATAACTCTGTTTATGAAGTCATATTACATACCATCCTTCCTGAAGGGTCCATGAAAAATCCTGTTCTCTGGTCTTGGTATCAAGAATAATTCTGCTTTTCTTGGGCAACTAGTCTGCTCTTAACCTACGTGTGTTGTAACTGGTCATATTTAACATTTTGCATGGTCTGACAATGAACTCACAATCAAATCTTAGCCTGCTTCTTCTACTGAAATAAAACTTGCTGGCGGCTGGGTGTGGTGGCTCATGACTGTAATTCCAGCACTTTGGGAGGCCAAGGAGGGCAGGATCATGAGGTCAAGAGATTGAGACCATCCTAGTCAATATGGTGAAACCCCATCTCTACTAAAAATACAAAAATTAGCTGTGCGTGGTGGTGTGCACCTGTAGTCCCAGCTACTTGGGAGGCTGAGGCAGGAGAATCACTTGAACCCAGGAGGCAGAGGTTGCAGTGAGCCGAGATCATGCCATTGCACTCCAGCCTGGCAACAGAGCAGGACTCTGTCTCGAAAAACAAAAAAACTTGCTGGCATGCATTTTGAGGACTAACCTTACCTCTGGCAATATCCACACCTTGTTTTGCCTTTGTCTCTTTGTTTAGTTTGCTAATTTCGAATTTATTCTATTTTCCTGTGTCACATAAATTTTGTTAAGACTACTTTTAAACTCATTTGAAAGAATTTGAAAAATTACACTAGAAAAATGAGAAGTCACAGTGAAGCACTGTAGTGGATCAAACATAATACATGAAACTTCTCAGAATTCTAATCTTAGGTTTCTCATTTAACACACGAATTAATGGTCAGGAATCATATTTATATCTATAACTCTAAGCTTAATGTTAAAGCCTACAGAACAAAAAACATACAGACATAATAAGTAATGAGGGGGCCGGGCGCGGTGGCTCAAGCCTGTAATCCCAGCACTTTGGGAGGCCGAGGCAGGTGGATCACGAGGTCAAGAGATCGAGACCATCCTGGTCAATATGGTGAAACCCCGTCTCTACTAAAAATACAAAAAAATCAGCTGGGCACGGTGGTGCGTGCCTGTAATCCCAGCTACTCAGGAGGCTGAGGCTGGAGAATTGCCTGAACCCAGGAGGTGGAGGTTGCAGTGAGCCGAGATCGCGCCATTGCACTCCAGCTTGGGTAACAAGAGCGAAACTCTGTCTCGAAAAAAAATAAAAAATAAAAAATAAGTAATGAGGGAAATTCAGAGATCAAATTATGAAAGTTAATATATTTTAAAATCCATTATCAGCCTCTCAATTCTTCAACCTTTTTTGGGGAATCAGCTATAAAAAATATTAATGTTTGCTACAACTTCTACTTCATGACAACATTTCACTGCTATTTAAAAGCACAACACTCCAAATCACCTACCGTGTTTGTGAATAAAGGCAAGTCCTTGTAATATCTGATACATGATATTCCTTATGGCAGACTCAGGAAACAACTTATTTCTGTATGAGGCAAAGGAAAGCAAAGTTATAAATCAAAGGCCAGAACCTTTGATAATAAATACTAAAGAAAAACAACCATTTGTTTATACAGAGGAGCTACCTTATAAACACCAAATATATTCACGTGCTACAAAAACGAAAAGATTAAACATTTGATAGTAAGTCAAAAACAAAGTTTTTCCTCCAACATAGTATATAAAACATCAAAAAATCTCCTCTCCCCATGATATAAACGAAAACTTTAAAAATTTTTGGTGGGAAAAATTTGAGTTCTTCCAGATGAAGCCCTTATGCAGTGCAACAGCTAATAACATTTTCCTCCTGGCTGGGCAAAGCACATAGCAAACTGCTGTTATTGTCAATAAAGATGATATTTGCTCACTCAGAGAGGTGCTGTGAATGGCGTTCATTTTGCCACAAAGAAGATGTGCTCAAGAGGCTCCACATGGTTCACCTTTAAAGTTCAAAATTACCGTAGCAGGTAAATTTCTTATTAGCCTCCTCTTCCCAGCATGCAAGCACTTGAGCACTGCAGTGAGAGAGGAACTGAAACAAACCCAGGACTTTTCAACAGAACTCTCAACATCCATGAAGCTGTGTCCACCTCTGACTTCTAGTTGCTCTGCCCATCTGTCCTAGTGGGAATGGGAAACGGCAATGTCTATTAAATCTGAGCTTCCTTGGATGAATAACTCTTTAAAACAAGAAAATGACTGCATTGAGAACAGCTTCCCTGGAGCTAACAGAGAGCCCCCAAAGTAGAAATATAGGTGGACCCCACTCCTAACTGGCAGCTTTCAGCATCAAAGCCCAGTAGCATGAATGTTAAATGACTGGAGAAAGAATCAGAAGAATGCAATAAGGAAAGGAGAGAGAGAGAAAGAAGACACAAAAGCAGAAAGAAAACACATCTGCTTTGCCCATTTATTTCTATAATAAGATAATGATGACCAAACTGTACCTTTCTTTAATGAGCTGGTAAAGATTCTCCTTCATGTACTCGAAGATAAAATAAAGATGATCATTTTCCCTGATAACTTCTTTTAATTTGACTACGTTGGCATGGTTGAGCTTCTTTAAAGACTAAAAGGCAAGGAAGAAAAACAAAACAAAAAAATATAATTAGAGAGAATCTGTTGTTGAAAAAAAAAGTAATCCTACATAAACTTGGGAAGAAACATCTAATTTTAGAACCACAGAAATGTCGTAAATTGTTTTACTGACAATTTAATAAACAGTATATCTCTGAAATATATAGTAACTTTACATAGGAAAACTACTTTGATGAACTGACTAGAAGGTGTGTATTTGACCAGTAACTGGTATTTCTGGCTGCCCCCAGCACCAGGCAATGTACCAGGGCTATTTTGGGCCCACCCCCTCCAGATGATGGAATTCAGGCTGTGGAAGTAGCCAGAGGGGAACCAATAAAAGAAGCTTAGATTTTTCTAGCACTGGAGAATGCAGCTGTGTTGGGCTGAGATCACCAGCTAACAGTCTGCAGACACTTTGAACAGGAAATTATTCAAAAAGACAAAGGGCCGATGGCCTGCTTCTCTTGACTTTTGTCTGACTCGGGTGTCCATGAGGCGTAGAGTGCTCCTTCTTACAATGTGAGTTTGAGTTACAGAGGACCAACAGACACCTTACTGGAAGGACCCTGAAGTAAGACCAGAGAAATCCCTCTGCTTCCAAGAACAAAGGCAAAAAGTCAGGCAGTGGATGCGGAATGAGAGGGTGGCTCCGAAATGGTCTGTGGCCTTCTGATTACTCGTCTTCACGCATGTGTACTTCTCCTTCTCCTGGAGCACGTGTGTCCATGTGAGTATAGCCATGTGCACACTGTTTTCTGTTTGCATCATTAGTTTTGTCGATAGTGAACAAATCACTTTGTATTAGTGAGCAGCATCCCTGTTCTTGTACAGTAGACACACACAAAACTGTTCGTTTAGATAATCAGAATCTGATTGACTGTCCCCTTCATGGAAGCCTCCAAGTGTCACTTTGGCCAGTGAGATGAGTCCTTTAATTAAAATAGCCCTTTCTCATATATAAAGATGGGAGTCCAATATTAAGTTGTTATCTTTGAATTTCATTAAGAAGAAAATTTTTTTTATAAAACAAAGAAAACATGTGAAGAGGAGTGTTAAAATGAATATCCTCATCTAGAAGAACACTCAGTGAAAAAATACCCAGGGTTCAGAGCTTGGGAATGTGTAATATGATCAGTTACTTGAAGCAGCTGGTAAGAGAGAGGAAATATAGTCAGTGAAAGAGAGCAAAATAAGACTCATTGGAACTTCCTTTCTAGAAGAACAGTTCCTGCCAAGATACTTCTCTGGCAGGGAATCCTCAGCTGTTTTGGCCAACTGTTTTGGCCAGATCCTTCTAGTATGGACCAAAAGGGCTGATTACTCCCTTTAGTTGGGTTGGATTCCTGGTTCTCCACAAGTAACAAACATAAACATTGCTTAACTTGTAAGTATTCACCAAACTCTCAGTGATCGCAGCTATCTTTTATGCCTGTTTGCTTAAAATGCATCACAAACAATGGCTAAGGTAGCTACTAGATGAGCAGCCTTGGAGAAAATTCATTCAGAGGAAAATGAAGTTGTTTTTAAAACTTTTCTGGGAGAGAATTCTAGGCAAGGAGTGGGGTGCCTCCAGCTCTTGGCCTGAGGTGCGTTTGGAGCCATGAATTGCTGGCCCAACTCTATGGCGGCTCACAAGTCTTGTTTCTAGGTAAGGATCATGAGCAAGTTAAAGTCCATATTAGTTTAATATGAAAGGAGTTAATTTTATGTGGGAGACTTCATGTGACTGGCTTTATGAAGATGTATTTCCAGAAAGAGGCATCTTATCTTGGCTCAGGGAAGGATTCCAAAAAAGAGAGAGAGGCAGGTCAGTTGTGTCAGAGTGGAGAAGCAGAAGTAGCAAATTAAGCCAGGTCAACAGTCCAAATGGGGACTGTTTCTCCTCATGGATGATGCTTTCAGCTGGATAGTACCAGTGTTGTCCACATCAGGGACTGATCAACAGTTTCAAACTATTAAAACAACAATGTACTGGGCCCCAGGGTATGCTGGGGCTTAAGATGCCATGCTTGCTCTTAAAAGGCAAACAACCTAATTGGAAAGTTAGGACATCGATACAAAATACATGTAATAAAATAAGGAAGGTCATATTACATGTCAAGGGAATGACAGAAACAAGGACCATCAGAGATGTGACACGGAGTAAGCAGCAAACCCTGAGTGGTCAGTGGGAGCATCGCTGGGATGTGACTTAAAGGAAGAGTGACACCCGGACTAGCTTGCTAGGAGGGAGCAGGCACAACGGGAGGGAAGCCCACTGCAGGTAAGGCATAGAAACTGAGTAGAGGACTGTGTCTGAGGGATGAAAGATGAGAATCACCCCAGTTCACTTCTGAGGGAGACTCATCTGCAAAACCTTGGGTGGAGAAGTGAGCAGGGGCAAACCATTTGGATGCCAGGTATATACCTGCTGAGTTCTTCTGGTGAATCTGTGGCCTTAAGCAGAGTTGCAGAGGGAGATGCCTGATTTGATGAGGCTAAAAAGTAAATGGTGTGTGGGAAAGCTGCACTGAAGAAAGAAGTTTGGAAGGTAAAGTAAGAAAAGGAAAGAGTTGGAAACTCAAGGGGAGAGGGGCTTGGGAATGTTTTAGGTTAGAGAGAATGGTGAGCACACTTAGAGACTAAACAGAAGGAACGAGTGGGGAACAAAAGAGTTTAAAGATACGGAAAGGAGGGGGAAATTGTTGGAGCAAGAATCTACAGACATCAAAAGTTAATATGATTAAAAAAACCAAAACAGCAAAGGAACACGGTAGGCAAGATACAGGCAGCCTATGGTTTCAAGATGGTGTCTAGAACTGCATAGTGCCATGTAAGACTACGCTTCTAAGAAAAATAGCACCAGGTGCCATTCCCCCCATGACATCACAGGAGCAGGGATTCCCCTCCCTGCAGTGGCCATAAGGTGCAGAATCTCCCTGAAGTCCTCAGGGTCTTCACAGGCAGACATGGAAATGTACAGGCAGGCAGCAATGAGGAGAAAAGAAATGAAGGAAGAGAGGCGTGGTGAGTACTCAGGATTTTCCTCAGTTCCCTTTGCTGCTGGAATGAAGCAGCTGACAGGACACAGGAAATGATGGTGACAAGAGGCCTTCAGTGACCTTCCCTTTCCTTCCCCTTCTGAGTCAGCAGGCATGAAAGAAGGACCTCAGAAAGGAGGAAGGGATGAGGAATCTTGTAAGGTGCCCACTTTCTACACGCTTCCGCCATCCCTTCCCTCTGTGTTCAGGGCTGTGGCCCAGTGTTGGTAAGTCTGTGTGAGGCTCAACAAGCGCGGGGGTGTCGGGATGGGGAGGATCCCAGCTGGCAGCCGATCTGGCATCTGCGCAGACAAGGAAAAAGAGTGGGAGTCGTCTGGTGGTCATCAGCTAGAGGAGCAGTTTCTTCAACCATCTTGCTGAGGCAAGTCACTTGCTTCCTAAGACACTAAGTGTCCACAGTTTTTTAAAACCATGTATATGAGCAATCTCTTTTGCATTAGAACTAATACACAATTCGCTGTATGGAAAAATAAAGGTTTAACATCCAAGCCATGGATACGTCTCAGAACTTCATGTCACAGAGAAAACGTCCTTAGATTATCTTTGTTTTTTTTTTTATCTGATGTTTTTGGATCATCTTGAACTTTTATTCTCTAGACCAGAGGTTGGCAAACTATGTCCCATGGGTGAAATCCAGCCCACTACCTGTTTTCATATGGTCCATGAGCTAAGAATATTTTTGTTGTTTTTGTATTTTTTGGAGACTGAGTCTCATTCTGTCATCGAGGCTGGAGTGCAATGGTGCAATCTCAGCTCACTGCAACCTCTACCTCCTGGGTTCAAGCAATTCTCCTGCCTCAGCTTCCTGAGTAGTTGGGATTACAGGTGCCCCCCATAACACCCAGCTAATTTTTGTATTTGTAGTAGAAATGGGGTTTCACCGTGTTGGCCAAACTGGTCTCGAACTCCTGATCTCAAGTGAGCCACCCGCCTCCACTTCCCAAAGTGCTGGGATCACAGGTGTAAGCCACCGCACTTGGCCCAAAAAAGATAAAAAATAATATTTTTATAAATGAGTGGTCGCGATTCATTGATTGAGGTACACCTGTATAATGGATCTCTTATATGAAATATTTCAATACAAAGAAGTAGAATGTGTTGATTTAGTGATGATAGGAAACATTAATTTTGTTTGATGATAGGGAATACTAACTTTGAACCCCACTTAAGTTAAATATTATGTCCCCTCAAAAAGAATATCATTCTTCTCATTGAAAAACCTGCAATACAGAAAATTATACTAAATTGTGATTACATTTTATATCTTATAAAAATTTTATGAAAATTTGTTTTTGCTCTTGTTACACATGTACCTATATAACATCCTCAGTGTGACCTTTTGGTCCTAGAAGCATAAAAGACTGACTATCTGGCCCTTCACAGAAAACATTTGCTGATCCCTGCTTTAGGCTTGTAACCCTGCTTTCAGGTACAGGACTCCTTGGGAGGAAAAGAAAGGGTGTTTTCCAATATTCTATTAGGTGTTTCAACCAGGGCTGGGCAAGAGGACTAACATTAGATGAAGCACCACTCCACTGGATGAGGAAGCGAATGTAAAACTCAATGTGACAGAGAGAAAGATTGTAACAAAATCAATAGAAGAGGAGGCAGGGGGAAAGGGAGGGAATAGTGAATCCAGTCAGAAGGCTGAATACAATAAAGATCTGTGCTCCACAATGCTTGACACAGGTGTACCTTCATCAGTGAATTTCCTCATGGAAAGTAGAGTGCAAATTATTAGAGCAAGAAATGGAAGTAAGTACTGCAATTATGTCTCGGAAAAATACTCAACAAATAGATTTTCCTTTATGTTAATAATCAAGAAAATAATTAGGCAATAATAATTCACAAAATTAACACATTCAACTTCTTTATACTGAAATATGTTGATATAAGCGCTCCATTAAAGATGAAAGCTTTCTAATAACAGTATAGGCAATTACATCATGATCTTCTGCTTCAGCTAGAATGTTATCATTTGCCTCCCTTTCCAGCATTAGTGAAAAAATTCAAATGAAAGACTATATCAACTATAAATCTAAGCATGTACAAAGCTATTTTCATCATCCATATATGAATTGTTCCTTGGCATATTAAATACCTTAACCTCCCGAAGGTTCATGCATTCCTCCCAGGAATAAAACTTTCTTTTCATTCTAGAAGAGAAGAAAGAAACAAACAGCACACTTATTCTCAGCAATAGGATAAATTTTGCTTTTAGAAAAAAATGCTTTAATTCTGAACCTAATTAACATCCTTAAAGTGGGTTTAAATTTCTACCAAATATTATACTATCCCAAACCAACATTTATTTTCAAACGGCAGTGAGATCATCAATCCTAAGTCACAAACTTTGCCAGTAGCAGTGGTGTGGTACAGTTCAAAGAGGCCTGGACTGCTGTCTTGCTCTATACTAACTAGCTAACCTTGCCCTGGAAGGAAATTGCTCAGGCTTCTTCTGTCTAGACCAGAGCTGGCCAGTTTCTATATTGGTGAAACTGTTCTGTGATGTCCAGGATGGTAGCCACTAGACACAGGTGGCTACTGAGCACTTGGCATGTGGCTAGTGCAATGTGGGAACTCAATTTTAATTTTAATTAAATTTAAATGCCACATATGGTTACTTGCTATCATACTAGACAGCAAAGCTCTAGACCTTCTAGTGCAGGAGTTAGCAAACTATGACCCATGGGCCAAAACCCCCCTATCTGTTTCTATACAGCCCATGAGCTAAGAATGGCATTCACCTTTTTAAATTGGGGTTTGACGAGTCAAAAGAAGAATAATATTTCATGATGTGAAAATTTTGTGCAATTCCAATTCCAGTTCCTATAAATGAAGTTTTATTGGAACACAACGGTACTCATTCATTTATATACTGCCTGTGGCTGCTTTCAAACTACAACAGCAGAACTGAGTAGTTGCAAGAGACCATATGGCCTGTGAAGCCTAAAATATTTCCAGCCTGGCCCTTTATAAAGTTTGCCAAGCCCTGGTCTAGAGCCTGAATGGAGAGAAAGAAAGCACCATTAGCTAATCAGAAATCCAAGTTTCAAGGTTATATTTTTCAGTGAATTTCAATCATGTTGTCTCATTCGTCTTACAGCAGCCCTGTGAAACAGATAAGGACAGCTCAAGAAACAGAAACAGAGAAGGCACACGACTTTCCCGAGGTCTCACTGCTGGCCAGTAACAAACTGCCCATCTCTCCAGCTTCCTCTGTCCTTATCACACTGTCTCCTGGTAGAGTGATCAAATTCTTTATTCATGCCCCAAATATGATTTAACCCCTGCTATGTGGTACAACAGGTGCTTTGTCAGCCACTGGCGAGGCAATGATGAGAAAGACATCCCTCATGAAACTGACATCATGGCCAGAAGGTTGACAATAATTTTCTGTACCAAGTGCTGTGAAGAAAGGAAAAGAGCCCATTAAAGTGAATCTGCCAGGGGCATTGGCTCGGCCAAATGATGCAGTGATTGGTAGGTCACCTTAAACATTTGGGGCTTCATCTTAAAACTGACAGGAAGACATTTGGAAGCGGTCTTAGTTTGGATTCCTCCAAAAGCAGAGCCTGGGCAAGAACTTGGGTGCAGGTAGTTTATTTGGGAGCTCCAGGAAGCCAGGGCAAGGAGCAGGAGACTCAGAAAAGAGAGGTAGGGAACCCAATAAGGGTTGTATGAGCAAGCTAATGGCTGAGGCCTGCTAGGGACCTTTTAAAGATCTGGACAGAATGTACCTTGGTTGAAAGTCTCCCAAGTGCACTTGGGGTGTGGTGCCGGTGTGGGCTAGAGCTGTGCACTACAGCTATGCTGACATCAGGTGGGACTAGGGGATGTGTTCAGGGAACACAATGAACATTTGGTCAGGTGGTTTTAGAGGATTAAATTTGTATGTTTAAAATAATCCTTTTGGTCTGATATGAATAAGGGAAAAAAAGCCAGGAGCCCTACAGAGGACCTAGTGTTGGAGGTGGTAAAGGGTAATGGGTTGAATGGAGGTTAGCAGTGGGAATATACAGAAGTAGGTGGATCACATAACTATGACATAGAATTGACAGGACTAGATAACTAGAGGTGAGGAATAAGGGGGAGGGAAGGCAGAAGAACTCCCAGGTTTCGAGGGGATAGTGCCATTTATCAACATAGGAAATACTGAAGAAGAAACAAATTTGGGGTAAAAGTGAGATAATATGCTGAGTCTAAGTGTAGTTTTGAGCATGGTGAGTTTGAAATATCTGCAGGGCATTCAAACAGAGATGCTGAGAATGCAACTGGATAGAGATGGGTGTGGCAGTCTCCAATACGGTTCCCAGAGACTCCCACCTCCTGCTACCCAGAACCTTTTAGAAGCCCCTCTCCTTCAATGACTTGCTTCTAACCAATAGAATACAGCAATTTGACAGGAATGTCACTTCTTTGATTAATTTACAAAAGCAAGATCTGACTTCCATCTTAGTACAAGTCTCTCATTGCCTTCTTGACTCCCATGTCTTGATGAAGCAAATTGCCATGTTGTAAGCTGGTCTTTAGAGGCCCACATGGCAAGGAACTGAGGGCAACCTCCTGCCAACAGCCAGCTGGGAACTGAAGCCCTCAGTCCAGCAACCCATAGATCAATGAGCTCAGAATTGGATTCTTCCCCAGTCCAGCCTTCAGATGAGACCCCAGTCTGAGCCAATACTTTGACAACAGCCTCATGAGAGATACTGAGGCAGAGAACTTAGCTAAGCTGTGCCCAGACTCCTGGCCCAGATAAACTGTGAGATAATAATGTGTGTTGTTTTAAACAAAGAAGTCTCGGAGCAAACTGTTAAACAGCAACAGATAACGAATACAATGTGTCTGGACTCAGGTTGTAAAGGGCAAGTGGGGCAGGAGGAACAAGACAGCAGTCACCAGACCACCACATGCATGTAAATGACCCAAACTAAGTCACTTAATTTCTTAGAGTTTCAGTTTCCTCTCATGTAAAATGATGTTTATTAACCTGCTTGTTACTATCACACAATATGAGAAAATACTTTGATAACAAGTACTAGTGCTATGTGCAAAGTAGTAAATCTAAAGTGGAAATGTTTTTACGACCTCTAACATGGGTGTTGCAGAGTCAATAATCACCTAACCCACAGAAATAATTATCTAAGGTTCTTCTCCAGGCATCCCACCCACTCCCCTTTAGAACCGTTTCAAAGATCGGGAATGGTGAGGGTAGAGTTAAAATTATCACAGAGTGAAGGATCAAACTTACTTTTTAATAGCAATCAGCTCCCCAGACTCAATGCTTCTTCCCAGCAGGACAGAACCGTAGGTTCCATCTCCGAGCTGCCTGATTGTTGTGTATCTATTCATGGTGTGCCTGCTCAGGCCAGACACTCATCTCAAGGCCAAAGCAGTTCAGTCCTGCAGCAGTAGCAGCCCTCCCCAGAGTGTAACCAGATTTTTCGATGGCAGCACCAGCACAAAGTATTCAATAGGACGTGACTATCTTCCAAATACATATTTTCAAAAATCAGTCTTCTGCCTGCAGAGAAAAATGAGAGGCAAGGGTAAATGCTAAAATACATTTTCAGTAGATGTATTTTTATGAGTCTCAATCTGTGTTTTATTGGAACACAGTCATACCCATATACTTGCACACTGTCCATGACTACAATCGCAGGGTTAAATACTTGTGCAATGCTGTATAGCCTGCAAAGCCCAAAGGACAGCAAGTTTTGGAATAATGTTGTTTCATTATAATGTTGATGAAGGAAAAAAAAACAACTTGGTTCCCGGCTGGGGCTGCTGTCTGTGTGGAGTTTGCACATTCTCCCTGTGTCTGTGTGGGTTTTCTCCAGCTGCTCCAGTTTCCTTCCACGTCCCAAAGATGTGCACACTAGGTGAAAATCATGTCTACACTATCCCAGGCCTGAGTGGGTGTAGGGTGTGTGTGTGTGTGTGACCTGTAATTGGCGTCTGTCTGGGGTTGGTTCTCACTCTGCACCCTAAGTTGCTAGGATAGGCTCTGACCACCCACACCCCCAAACTGGAATAAGCAGGCAAATAATTACTTTACTTTTTAAAAAATCTTTCTTAAATGTATGTGTAGCTCACATTTATTCCAATGTTTAATATTCAAAGTGTTTTGTTTTTTATTTAGATGTTTGGTGATGTTTTTATGACCAGAAATATGCTGTAGGAACTTAACTCTTGTTTTTATCAATTAGCCTATGGCAAAATTGGTTTCGTTTTATGTTGTTTGGCATAAAGTCGCAGTTTCCAAAGAACCTACGGATGAGCTAAGTGAAGACTTAGTGTATTGACCATATGGCCCTTTACACAGTTTACTAACCCTTGGTCTAAACAATGCTCTTTTCTAATTTCTTATACAACTAGAGATACTATGCTTGGAAAGTAAATTTGTCACTGAGTCAGAAATAAATCAGCTCCAATTCAATTCTTTTCTGCTGACTAACCATTCTGGGCAAACTCTGAGAGCCAACTGTGGTCGATGAAAATTGCCAGGCTATGAAAATTTCTGCTAAATATACTGTGTTCTGTACACTTGAGCTACAATTAACAATGTAAACATACAAAAGCTAAGAAATGCCAAATTAAAGTTCTCCTGATAGAGAACTTATGTGTGCTCCATGAACTACGTGTGGCTAAGCATCAATGGTATTATTTTCACTATTAGACATTCGGAAGCTAAAGAAAGAACTAGGAATTCAAGGTCTATGTGTAGGGTGTGCTCCTTTTAAAGTCACTCAGTTTGTGTCTTAAAAATAATGTCACTGATTTTTCATTTATATAATTCAGTCTGCCTATAATAAAGAAACTGTAGTAATAATGTAAAGTGATTACAATGTCTTTAAGCAAACATTAATAAAATGTAAATACTGAAATAACAAAGATGATTTGAAATATGGCTATCAAACTAGTAATCTGAAAAATCAAAAGATCAGAAAATAATGATTGGCAGGATGTGACACTCTGTACCTAAATCAAGTCTATAAACCTTCTCCTTCCAGGAGAATTCCAGTTAATAAATATAGAAGGAAAGAGAGAACTAAGAAATTTCCCTATTAGGTAAACACCACAAAAAAGTTTGTTACAGGCAAAGTTCACTCATGAATGCAAAAATTATTGGATGGGAGTTTAAGGAGAAACAGCATATTTGCATAGATCCAAAGTATCTAAAGGTACTTATTAACTTTGAAGAGAAAGATGGGAACTTCACAGGGAGAAATCCAGGAGAAACCTTACCAGAGTGATCAAGTTCAATATCACCAGCAATACGATGACTTTATGTATTCTGGATGTGATGCACTTGAGAAGGGTATGTCATCACTTCTGCAGTTTTCCTGTCAAAAAGCCAGAACCTCAATCTAACCACGAAAAAACATAAGGCAGATATCAACTGAGAGACATTCTATAAATAACTGACTAGTACTCTACGAAGTGTCCAGATCACAAAAGACAAAGACAGACTAAGGAGCTGTCACAGATTGGAGGCAATTAAGCAGACATGCTAACAAAATGCAATGTGGGATCCTGGAAGAGAAAAGAACACTAGTGAAAAAGTTGGTAAAATCTGAGTAAGATCTGTTGTTAATAGTATTGTGCCAATGCTGATTTCCTGGTTTTGAGCATTGTTCTATGGTTATATGTTAATACTAGGGAAAACAGGGTGAAGAGTTTCTAGGAACTCTGTACTATTTTTGCAAGTTTTCTGTAAGTCTAAAATTAGTTCCAGATTAAAAATTTAAAAATAGGCCAGGCACAGTGGCTCATGCCTGTAATCCCAGCACTTTGGGAGGCCAAGGCAAGTGGATCACCTGAGGTAAGGAGTTTGAGGCCAGCCTGGCCAACATGGTGAAACCCTGTCTCTACTAAAAACACAAAAATTAGCCGGATGTGGTGGTATGCACCTGTAGTCCCAACTACTCAGGAGGCTGGGGCAGGAGAATCGTTTGAACCCGGGAGGTTGAGGTTGCAGTGAGCTGAGATCACACCACTGTACTCCAGCCTGGGCGACAGAGTGAGACTGTTTCAAAGAAAAATGAATTAAAAATATAAGTAAGTAAGTAAATAAATCCAGACTATGTTCTCCTGAGAGCTGTGTGTGGGCTTGAGAAATCTTAAGAAATATAAAGGTTCTGCCTGATTTCACCACACTTTATCACAAAATCAAGCAAGCTTTTAGAGATCAATCTCCACTTGATCCACTCTAAACTCATTCCCTTTCCCCTAGAACCACTGTAAGGTCCCTGGATGGATGGGCATTTTCCTTCTTGAAACTCCTCAGGATCAGACTCTTCAACCTTCTTCAGGAGCTCTTTAGGGTGATGTATTCCACTGATGATTAATAAATATTTATAAAGCACCTCCTGTGTGACAGATCCTGTCTTTAAGCTCTGAGAATACAAAGACCAATAAAATATGGTCCCTTCTTTTAAAGAGCTTAGAGTCTCCTGGCAGAGGATGGGGGTGTGGGTGGGAGAGGAAAAGCAGATATGTGCCAGTCATGAATACAAACTAAGATATTTCAAGTATGCTAAGGGCACAGGATATGGAGGGGAATTAAGAAGAAAGTCCTCTTGGTTTCTAGCTGGGTCAATTCCATCTGCTTAGGGAGGGCAGTAAAAATCTTCATAAAAGATTATCTTAAAAAAGAGAAAAGTAGGTATTTTTTAGGGCAAATGGGGTTCTAACACTCCAAGAAGAAGAAACTAAGAGGCAGGGGCTTGAAACTGGGGAGTGGAAGTGGGGAGCTTGTGGAAAGAGTTGGTAGACTTTTGTTTATGGAGGAAGCCAGATGCCATTTTTTTTAAATACAGGTTTTGACTGGTTTACTGGAAGAGAAGAAAATACTATAAAGCAGAGGTCCCCAAACCAGGGGCCATGTTAGGAGCTGGGCTGTACAGCAGGAAAGCAGCAGGTGAGTGAGCACTGCCGCCTGAGTTCACCTTCTGTCCGATCAGTGGTGGCATTAGATTCTCAGGAGCGTGAACCCTATGAGTTTGTGAACTGCCCATGGGAGGGATCCAGATTGCCTGCTCCTTTGGAGACTCTAATGCCTGATGATCTGAGCTGGAACAGTTTCATCCTGAACCATGGATGGTAGATTGGATACAAATACTTATCTGTGTTACAGTTACTGTAGCTGTAGTTACTATCCTGTGATTCAGTAAGAACATAGTTTCATTCTTGGGAAATACACTTTGAAGAATTTACAGGTAAAGGATCATGATGTATACAATTTATTCTCAAGGGGGTAGAACAAAAATTTTGTGTGTGTTGTGTGGAGAATAAATGGGGTAAAATGTTAACAACAGGTAAATCTGGGTAAAGAGTATGCTATGGACTGAATATTTCTCCTCCAAATTCACACATTAAATCCTAACCTCCAATGTGATTGTATTTGGAGAGAGACCTACAAAAAGGTAATTAGGCTACAGAGGTCATAAGGGCAGGGGTCTGATACAAAAGGGTTATTGTCTTGTACCTCTCCCCCACACTTCCTACCAAATGAAGACACAGGAAAAAGGCAGCTATCTAAAAGCCTCATGCTTTTTGCAATGCATTATACTACTGATTCATATCAGTTACTAATAATAAAGCCTTTTTTTGGATAATGTCCCTTCTTCATCCACTTAGATTGTACATTCTCACCAGAAACCAAATCATTTGATCTTGGACTCTCCAGCCTCCAGAACTGAAAAAAATAAATTTCTGTGAAGACACCCAGTCTATGATAGTATGTTATGTATGGTAGCCCAAGCAGACTAAGATAGGATATATGGGTATTCTTTGTGCTATTCTTGCAACCTCACTGTAAATTTAAAATTATTATAGATTAAAAATTTCAATTATCCCTAGAATGGAGAAGAAGGGAAATTTTAAAAAGATACAGGCACCTTAAATGTTTTATTTTAGCTTAAAAACAGACTTTAATACAACTTGTTTAGAAGACAGAACACTATATACCACGGTTCCTTCATTTCATGATTACTGCATTATGGAATAGATTGGATTCAGGCTGTACCTTAACCCAAAAACTACATTTGGACCACAGCACGAGCAATTTTGGCTCTGTGTTTATTTTCCCCTTTTTCTTCTCAATGTTTATCTTCAACTATTTTTTTCATATGGCATATACACAGTCCCCAACTTATGATGGTTTGACTTAACGATATTTTAACTTTACAAATGGCGCCAAAGCTATATGCATTTAGTAGAAATCATATTTCGAGCATCCTAGTTGCAGAATATTTCATGCAACTATTCTGTTTTTCATTTTCAGTGCATATTCAATATATACAGGAGATATTCAACACTTCATTATAAAATGGGTTTTGTGTTAGATAGTTTTGCCCAACTATAGGCCAATGTAAGTGTTCTGAACATTTTTAAGGTGGGCTAGGCTTACAATGATGCTCAATAGGTTAGGTATATTCAATGTATTTTTGACAATAATTTTTTTTTTTTGAGACGGAGTTTCGCTCTTGTTACCCAG